AAAGATTTCTCAGTGACTTTCTGTGCAAACGTATTGTTCAGCTTCTTTCCAGAATTTTTTGGAAAAAGCATGAAACATCTATGTGAGTGTATACATATGAAATGATAAATCCCTTCCAGGAATCCTAGTTCTCTTCAAGTAATTTCTGTAGGGCTTTTTTCCTTTTTCTTTCAGAAACAATATTTCAGATTCTCTCAATTTCGCATCCTAGGAGTCCTTTGCCTTACCTAAGGATCAACCTCTCACCATTCAAATAGAATGACCATAACCATCTCTCCTACTTTAACTTTCCTTCATTCTAATAGGAAAACGTCTCTCTCTCTCTAGTCTGAGGAAAAGATGCCACTGAAGTTTATTTTTCAGAAAATAAATAGAGGAAGTATGACATAAAAGGAATTGAATGACTGGGGGGGGGGGGGGGTGGGGGATGTGTGCTTTTTTCTCTCAACCCCATTGTTCTGGTTGCTTTTTAACTTCTCAATTCCTTCTAAATTCCTTTGCAATATTTCTCTCCAGGCCCTTTTGCTTCTCTCTGATTGTCATCACAGATGAGGACTTCATCAGCCATACGATGTATTCCTGTCCAAAGAGCTCCTGCTTTTAAGTCCAACCTCCATCCTTTAGGCAGCAACTCTAGCCAACTTCCTCTGATTCAAGTAAGAACAATACCCGTCTCTATCTCCTTGCCACCCCATCCTGTGTTCTTTGTATTTGTCTCTTGGATTCAAACAGGATCTTCCCCTTCTGAAGCCCTTCAAGAAGCAGCAGAATTGCTACCACCCTTCCCTATAAAGTGATGAAAGGAAATCGCGGCCAAGACGCAGCCGGACTCCGGGGTCCGCGCCGGCGCCAGGCCCAGCCCCGCCCGGGCAGCTCGGGCTCGGGCCGGGGACTACGACTCCCGGCAGGCCGTGCGGGCACGCCCACTGCCCGCAGCCCCGCCCACGCGCGTCTCCGCGGCCTTCCGGGGGTGGGGACTGGAGGGGAGGTGGCCATGGGGCTGCGGCCGGGGTTTTTCCCCTCCTCGGCTTCCGTAGACGGAGTCGGGCGGACCCTCTGGGGCTTCGGTACCCCCCTTCCCCTTCCCCGGGGTCCGGGGGTGACATTGCACCGCGCCCCTGGTGGGGTCGCGTCGCCGCCCCCACGCGGACTCCCCGGTGGCGCGCCGCTCCGTCCTGCGCCTGCGGCCGGGGCTCCTCCCCCGCTGCCCAGCCATGGGGGCTGCGGTGTTTTTCGGATGCACTTTCGTCGCCTTCGGCCCAGCCTTCGCGCTTTTCCTGATCACTGTGGCTGGGGACCCTCTCCGCGTTATCATCCTGGTCGCGGGGTGAGTAGCGGGTGGTCGAAGAGGCGTGAGAGCGTCGAAGAGAGAAGCGGAAGGGGCTGGAGGAGCTGGGCGAACCCCGGCCCCGGGCTGGACGGTCGGACGCGGTCCGGGCGGTCCGCCCCTCCCGGCGGTCGGTCTCCGCCGTGCAGCGACCGCAGATTTCCTCCTGTGCGCTCCCGGCGGGACCGGGCGGCCCAAGGCCGAGACTCCTGAGGGGCTGTGCTGACCTCGGCTGGCCGAGCCCGGTCCCTGCGGGAGGAGCCAGGCGTGGACACTTCACCCTTCAGGGCTCTGATTCTCATCTCTCTGAAGACTGTGTGACCAGATTTATACCCCTTCCCTACATCCAGGTTCCTACAGACGAGTTCCTTGGTGCAGACACCCACCCTATCTAGTCCCTGCTCTCTGACCATCCAGAAGTCTAACTTCCATTTTTCATGCTGCAGCCTTGGCTGGTTCCCTTCCTTGATTTCTCTGGCTGCCCTTACCCTTGCGTGTCTCATTGCCCTTGTCTTTTCTCAGGGCATTTTTCTGGCTGGTCTCCCTGCTCCTGGCCTCTGTGGTCTGGTTCATCTTGGTCCATGTGACAGACCGGTCAGATGCCCGTCTCCAGTATGGCCTCCTGATTTTTGGTGCTGCTGTCTCTGTCCTTCTTCAGGAGGCCTTCCGCTTTGCCTACTACAAGCTGCTTAAGTAAGAAGATGGGGTGGTCTGGAGGGAAGAGGGGCAGAGGATTGCACTGTGGGAAATGGGGCAGCCCTTGGGTGGTGGTTTGTAAGAGGTACCGCGGGAAGACATTAGAGGGAAAGGAGCATTCCTGCCCTCCCTCATGCTTCCCCTACTCCACCTCATCCCAGGAAGGCAGATGAGGGGTTAGCATCGCTGAGTGAGGACGGAAGATCTCCCATCTCCATTCGCCAGATGGCCTATGGTGAGCCGAGGGAGAGGGACCTGCGGAGGCAGTTGGACATCCCCCTCCCCTAGGGAAATCTCCAAACATCCACATATTCTGAGTGACTTCTTTTTTCCCTTCATACCTGATTCCAAGGAGAGGTGGTCTGGAGGGAGAGTAGGTGTGGGAGAAATGTAACTGGGAATGGGGAGGAGGTCATTGGTAATGAGGCTCTAGTGATTTCTGACATTGATGGCACCCTCCCTCCCCACAGTTTCTGGTCTCTCCTTCGGTATCATCAGTGGTGTCTTCTCTGTTATCAATATTTTGGCTGATGCTCTTGGGCCAGGTGTGGTTGGGATCCATGGAGACTCACCCTATTACTTCCTAACTTCAGGTAAGGCTCACTTCTAATCTTACCTTCATGTGCCATTTATCCCTGGCCCTGATCTGATTTATTGGCCTTCCCTGGGAGACTTCTTTGGTTCCACATCTCAGGAGGCTGGGAGAAGATCAGGGATGTCTCATCCCCATCTTCCTCCCTGCAGCCTTTCTGACAGCAGCCATTATCCTGCTCCATACCTTTTGGGGAGTTGTGTTCTTTGATGCCTGTGAGAGGAGACGGTACTGGGCTTTGGGCCTGGTGGTTGGGAGTCACCTACTGACATCAGGACTGGTGAGTTGGAGATAGGGGCCAAGTTAGGCAGAAAAGCATTTAATGGCAAGTGGGATGGGGGTATGTGTCCTCTCTGAAAATTTCTGATTTACATTGGGCAGAGGCAGAAAGGTGAGTCTCTACAGCATTAGTTATGTCACCTGCTCTGAGGATGCTCTGGGGAAGAGTTTGAACGGATTAGGCAAACTGTAATGCAGAGGGCCTGAGATGAGCGGCAGTCGTCGTAATCTTTGAGGGAGTTGGAAATCAAATCCCTTTAACCACAAGATGTTGGTGTTCTGAAGGGAAAGACTGGGGAATGTGAGTAAGATGTCTGGGGGAGGCTTGGGTTAGAGGTACAAAAAGAATATAGGGATTAGTCAGGGAAAGAATCTAACTTCTTTTATACTCTTACCCTCATTCTCAGACTTTCCTGAACCCCTGGTATGAGGCCAGCTTGCTGCCCATCTATGCAGTGACTGTTTCCATGGGGCTCTGGGCCTTCATCACAGCTGGAGGGTCCCTCCGAAGTATCCAGCGCAGCCTCTCGTGTAAGGACTGACTACCTGGAATGATCGCCTGACAGATCCCACCTGCCTGTCCACTGCCCATGACTGAACCCAGCCCCAGCCCGGGTCCATTGCCCACTTCCTCTCTCTTCGTTGGTCTACCCCAACAACCTTCAGGGTTTTGCTTTGTCCATTTGTGACCTTTAGTTTCTGAGCTTCACCAGGAGTAGCCTGGGTTCAGCCAGTCAGTGACTGGTGGGTTTGAATCTGCACTTATCCCCACCACCTGGGGACCCCCGTGTTGTCCAGGAATCTCTATGTGTCAGTGCTCTGCTCTCACCCTGCCCATGACTCACCCCCCTTCCCCTCTGCAGGCCGACGGCAGGAGGACAGTCGGGTGATGGTGTATTCTGCCCTGCGCATCCCACCCGAGGACTGAGGGAACCTGGGGGGGACCCCTGGGCCTGGGGTGCCCTCCTGATCTCCTCGCCCTGTATTTCTCCATCTCCAGTTCTGAACAGTGCAGGTTGCCAAGAAAAGGGACCTAGTTTAGCCTTTGCCTGGAGATGAAATGGATGGAAGCTCAAGGGTAGATGATCTCTGAGTTTTCCAGTACCCCCTCCCCAGACTGGACATCTTGGTCTTTTTCTCAGGTCTGAAGGGAACCATTTTTTTGGTGTGATAAAGACCCCAAACTGCCTTTTACTTTTTTTTAAGTGGAGGGAGGGAGGAGGTATGTTGGAACTCTCCTCACCTCCTTGGGCTATATTTTCCCTCCTCAAATTGTTCCTGTGGCTGGGCTCATTTCTGTCCCCTTTCCCCTTGGTCCCAGGCCCTGGGGGAAAGGCAGGAAGTGCATGTTTGGGAACTGGTATTACTGGAACTAATGGTCTTAACCGCCTTGGCCACCAGCATCCCTCCTCTCCCCAAGGTGAAGTGGAGGGTGCTGTCGTGAGCTGGCCACTCCAGAGCTGCAGTGCCACTGGAGGAGTCGGACTCCAGGACATCCCAGGGAAGGAGGGTGGGTTTTTTTCTAGTTTTTAATTGGGGTATGGGAGGGGTGGGGAGGTTTTCTATAAACTGTATCATTTTCTGCTGAGGGTGGAGTGTCCCATCCTTTTAATCAAGGTGATTGTGATTTTTGACTAATAAAAAGTACTTTATAATTGTGGGGGAACTTGACTTCTAAGGGAGGGAATGATATATTAATTGAGATTTCTGCCCTCCCATGCCTCTTGTCCAGTCTTCTTCCTGACCTGGCAATCCCTGATCTCCAAGCATCACTTGGGTGCAAGGGCAGAAATCTGAGCTGGTGGTTTAACATGTTGGACGTCCCCTTTCGGGGGTGGGATAAAAGGAGTTAGTCGCCCAGGCTTCTTTTTCTATGTCCTTTGCCTGTCTCTACCACCTGAGGGATTAAGGACCTCTCCCACTCCCAGGAACCCTAAAGGATAGGCCAGAATTAAGGTCAGAAACTTTAATTTCCAATTATACTGAACAAAAATATGTAACCCCAGCAGCAGCCCTTTTTCCGTGGAGGAGATCCTGCAGTGTATCTAGGGGAAGGGACAAAAAGGCGAGGGGTGGAGACTTGGGGCACATCTTCAACTTCACCTACAACTGAACATGGTTTGCCCGCTGTGTTAATACACGGGGATCTCCTGGTGTCCTCCTACATGTTTGAGAGGCCAAAGGCTAAAGGCTCTGCTGTTCTTCCTTGAATGAGAATCTCGTCCTTACCTCTGCGTGAGAGATGTCCAGAAAAGGAGGGGTGTCTGCCTACAACTCCTAGTAGTATTTTCTGTCCAGCCCCTGCACCCCACTTTAGAGGCTCCCCGACAGGCACAAAGGGAAGGCATCCGTGATGTCTCGGAACTTATGCTTCCGTGGTGGCTTGTGCTGAAGTGAAGACCACACTCTTCCGGTTTCCCAGCCTCTTCTTTCTGGAAGGGGGAATAATTGTTCATGGGAGTGACGAGTGTCCTCAGTGAAGCAATTAGAGGTGGAATATGAGAATACTTTTTAAAAGAAAGGACTGCAGGAATGGAAAGTAGGACCTCACCGAATCTTTCTAACGATGAAATAAACGGCCAGCAGAAGGCAGAGACAGCCAATCAAGATTCCCACACCTAAACTCAGCATTTCACCTGCGGGAGATAACGATGGAAGGTGTCAGCCTAGGACTAACATTGAACTTTCCCCCGACTTGCTGAGGTCCCTCCTGTCTCTTATTCCTGGGTAGGGCTGTCTTACCTGTGGTGTACAAGGATCCCACTGTAGAGGAAGAAAACTTGGGTCAGTGGGGCTTCAGAGTCCATCCCAACTGTAAGCAGCCCGCTGCCTTTATGCCTGGGAAAATCACCTGGGCACCCAGGGCTGGGGGTGGTTCCCAGTCCAAGTAAGTACTGGAAACCCCTTCCCCTCTTAGCTTTTTCTGTCTCAGGTGTTCCCTAGTTCCTGTCATTGAATCCCTGATTTCCCTTCTCTTCTGAGCCTTGGAGAGTCACCTTGGGTGAATGAAGCAAAGACAGTCCGCTGATTGAGAGGCTGGGGAGCTCTATAGTTCTGTATGAGGGGCTCAGAGGGCTCCTCTTCTGTGGAGAACAATGTCTCCTGAAGCTTTTCCAGCTGAGAAGAGTGGGAGAAGTCACTTTTGGGATGGGAAAGGGTCTGGAGTTAAAATTTTCTTCCTTTACCTCTTCATTACTCACCTGTCCCATTGAAATCTGGGCCCTTCGATTGAAGACTGTCCAGAGCACACTTTGGTAGCAGGGAGGAGTTGTGAGTGAGCCATTGTAACGAAAGAACTGCTCCAGCTGTGGGGGGAGCAGCTCTCCCACATTGAAGGGAGGCACTGAAGTCTTCTGATCTGGGGAGAACAGACTAGGATTCATCTTGCTGTACTCTGACTTACCTAGACAGGGTTCCCAAAGCAAAACCCACAGGCCCTGAAATTGCTGCCTCCCAAAACCTCTTAGGTCTTTTTTTTTTGGTTGGGGGGAGGCTACCGGGAAATGAACTCAGGGGCACCTGACTGTTGAGCCTCATCCCCAGCCTATTTTGTATTTTATTTATAGAGAGGGTCTCACTGAGTTGCTTAGCACCTTGCAGGTGCTGAGTGAGGCTGACTTTGAACTTGTGATCCTCCTGCCTCATCCTCCAGAGATGCTGGGATTACAGGTGTGTGCCAGCAGGCCCAGCCTAGGTCATTTTTTAAAAGTATTCCTAAAGTCTAATCTCACTATAGATTTTTAGTTCTCACCTTTATGTCTTATTTCATGCAAATGACTCAGAATGTGTTCATAAGCTGGATTCTCAGTCTCACCCACCTGGAAGGGGAGGAAAAGGAGAGAGTGTGGAATGAGTCCGTGTTGGGAGTGAGACATTTATGTACAGAATAGATGGTCAGGAGGTATTGTTGCCTGTGGTTAGGAAGGAGGCTGGCAATGAAATAGGTCTAAGGGACGCAGAGGAAGTGGAAAGAGAGCTGGGAGGGACTGGGGGCCACTGACCTCAATTAGGATGCCTAGTACAGCTAGCCCCTGAGGCCTCTGGGCAGCCTCACTCAAGCTGCCATAGGAATCCGAGTCATAATGCACCATGTGGAGCTGAGGGAAGGGAGAGGGATGGAATCATTTAATGCTTTTCTACCCCATTCCCTCCAAGGCCTTGACCTATCCACCACTGCAACCCCCATCGTGCTCCAAATCTGTCCCCCAACACTTGTCCTTGTTCCCCCAGTAGGGCTTTTCCTAGTGTCCAGATTCCTTCCCCAGAACCAGTCATCCCTGTGCCATCCTTTGTGTCCTAGTCCGAGCTCTTTGTTCTCTGATACCTCTGCAACCGTGGCTTCACTGTTGATCTGGTGCTCTGACCCCCCTGGGGATCCTTTCTGACCCCAGTGCAGGTGGAGCTGGGCAGCTGCATATTTTCGGGGCAGTCCGCCCAGATACAGGGTTGGGGGCAGAGAGAGTTGCACTGTGAGGAAAAGAGCAAGTTAGAGTTGGTGGAGGAACATGGGTCATTCTCACCCGTGGTTGCCACTTCTTGGGAGATAATTCCTCCCATAGACCAGTGCTTTTCTAGCACAGCTTGCCTGTTCTCAATGAGGTCGACCCATCAGGCTTGATCAGAGACATTTAGCTCCCACCTTGATTACAGGAGCCCAATCCTCATTCTTATATCTCCAAATTCATGGACGGAGCTTTCTGAAAACTTGTGTTATGAAAATACTTCTTTCTCTTGGCCCCTAAGATTTGAACTGGAGATCTGAATTGCTGGGAGCCTAGGTTTTTACCTGTGTGGCCATTGTTGTGCAAGTCCAAAGGCTCAGTTCCAGGCTGATCGTATCCGTGGGGCTGCAGAGCAGGCAACTCGGGGTCAAATGTCACACTGTCTGTCTGGATATCGATGGGGGACTGGGCATTGCTTCCACACTCAGGGTAAGAGGCTGGCCAATGGTCCTGACCATGTGGGCCTGGTGGGGGTAACCATGGATATTTGTCCTGCCCTCCAGCCCCAGCCATCCTTCAACACACCCCTGCCAGGTTATCCATCTGTGCGCAGGTAGAAATGCACTTGCCCCACCCGGGAGAGACAAGTAGCAGTCCCACTAGACTCTACGCTGCCGTTCCCCTTGCCTACCCAGAGGCAGAGATGACTCCCCAGTTACCCTGGTACATGTGAAGTGGTAGCTCTTACCTGTAGTTTGAGGACAAGAAATCTGAATGAGGGGAAGAGGAGATGGACAGATAGCCTGAATGCCCAGAGAGGTAGAATTAGAGTCGGAATGATAAAATGAGGGGAAATAAATGATCCTAGAGAGAAGGTCTCCTTGGAGTGCCCTATTAAGTAGTCTTGGAATTCAGCTAGCTATCTTGACTTTGTCATTTCTTGCTCTCACACTGAAATTCGCACTGAGACTGGAGTTTTGTTAAGTCGTTAATCAGAAGTTCAGAGGGATCGAGTTCCACCTCCCCTAAGGTCACAAACTAACCTGCTACTCTTCCTCACTCCTCATCTCAAGCTCTGTCCCAGTTCCAAAAGCAGGTTGGGAATAGGACTGAGAAGAATGCAGAGAGCCAAGAGAATAGCCGCTAAGCTCCGAGATCCGCTCCCCACCCAGTTTTCTTTCCACACCAACTCCCTCACTCCCACACGGATTTATTGAGGACTCAACCGACTTTTATGCTGAATCAGGAGGTGTGGGATTTAATGATTACAACAGGGTCTACAAATCATACATGCACAACCCAGGCCAAGGGGAGATGGGGAAGGGAGGCGTTAGTGTGCAAGGCTAAAGGAAACTGCTCCCCACCCCAGGATAAGTCTTCCTGCAGGTGAGGAGGTCCCAGGGTTAGAAGGGTGTTGACAGGCCGCCTGGAGTTCTGTTCTCACCTTCATATGTCCAATGGTGACCTGCAAGACAGAGTAATTTGGGTTACAACCAATGCAGACTGGGGCAGGGCCCTGGCTTCCACCCTCCCTTCCCAGGGGCCCTTGGTACCACTTCCCCTCCCCCTCCGCCTTCCACTCCACTTCCCAAAGGAAGCCCTGAAACCGGACACCTCAGCCGAAAGGTGGGGGGGGGGGGGAAGGGGGCTATTTAAAATCACAGCCAGGCTCAGCTGGAGCTTGCTGAGTAAAGGAGGAAGGGGAATGGAGAGATAAAGCCTGGAGACTAAAATTAACTTGGGTCTAAATGTGCCGTCCGTCGGCCCAACCCTCACTCCAGCCTGGGCCAAGTCAATCCAACAGAAGATTGGGGTGGGGTGAGGTGAGAATATGGGCAGAGGGTTTGGAGGAAAGGGACCAGAAAAAGAAGAAGGGAAAGAATTTTGCTGTTCTGCATGTGTGTTGGGTGGGGGGCTGCTACTGAGAGCAGAAGGGAGAATTATTCTTTTGCCTTGAAGCACTGCATAAAGGAAGGCACTGATCTGTAAATTAACACTGAAATTCTTCCCTTCTGATCCCACTAGTTCGAGAGGAAACTCCCCATTACCTGGAACCTCTGCTTCCCAAGATCCCTGCTGTCTCTGGAGGGGTGGGAGTCAAGGCAGGGTCTACTCTAGGTTGAGGGTGGTGGGTGGGCATAGGCAGCCAGGCTGGCAGGGACAGGATGAAAACGAAGCATTGTGTGTAAAAAGGAGAGCTGCCAGCGGGTCACATGCCAGGCTCTCTGCAGGCTCTCGTGCAGTCCTGTCTCTGGCTGACAGGCTGGGGGTCTGCTGGCCCAGCCCCACACAGGGCCAAGCTGCTTCAAGGGGAAGAGGGAGGCTCTGCGGATTTTTGCTGCAATATTAAAATGGCCAGAAACTCTGGAGAAAACCCTAAACTCTTTCCCCCTCTCAGACTTGTAAGAAGTCTTGGATCTCTTCACGCCCTCAGCTCGGACAACTTTGAAAAGCAGCCCAAGAAATGGCTGGAGGCAACCTCTTATTTACCAGCTCTGTGGGCCACCCCAACAGAGGGAATCCCCTGGGGCCCTTTTCCCCCATCAAATCCTCAACACAGTCATTTTACACCCCCTTTCTTTCCCTATTTTTTTCCTTTCTCCTCAGATGAAATTTTGGCTCGTCTGTTCTGTTACCCTCTTGCATTCTTCTGCTCCCTAGGCAGCTCTTTGCCTTGTTCTAAGAAACCTTCATTGCACGCCTACTGTGTGCTAGGCATGAGAGAGACACAAAAGAGAGGTGTAGGTGTCCTGGGGACACTTCTGGAACACCTCATCTCCTGGGAGTTCCTGAAAATCCACCTTAAACTGTAAAGGGTCAAACAGATATTGACTATTTTTACTAGTATTCTCAGGGGAAAACTAGGAAGTCAGTCTCTCCATAGAATCAAGAGAGGGGGGCCGGAGTTGTGGCTCGGCGGTAGCGCGCTCGCCTAGCACGTGTGGGGCCCTGGGTTCCATCCTCAGCACCACATAAAAATAAAATAAAGGTATTGTGTCCAACTACAACTCAAACAAAGTATTTTTTAAAAAAAAGAGGACTTCAGCTGTGAGGTGATCAGGCGATCAGCTGGAGTTCAGGGTCTGAGCTGGGCTGGCCTTGTTAGATATGTCCCCCACCTCAGTTCCCGGGGAAGAGTTTGTAAAGAAGCTACCAGGGCGGCCTGCGACTAGGACAGTGGGGAAAGCCTCTGGAAAACTGCAAGGAGATGCCTGCTCTCGTCTGTATTAGGCCCTGCCCCTGGCACCTTCTCCCCTGTCCCCGACAACAGCTGGGCTGGAAAGGTAAAGGGAAAAGAAGGGAACGAACGGTTTCCTCCATGTTCTTTTCCCTACCCCTGCGCCTATTGTTCCAGCCCCTGGGCGTCCTTTTACCTCTCCTCCCCCCACTGAGCACACATGGTGACATGTGGATATCAGCCCAGACCAACACACAGACAGCCAGTTGTACCTACCCCCGTCTGCAGCCAGGATCCAAATCACCTCTAGCAGGAGGGCGAAGAACAACATGGTATCCCCAGGAAGGGGCACAGGGAACCAGGAATTTGGGGACTAAAGGACTAAGAGAGACTGAGGAAGAGAGAGGAAAGAAGAGTTCCTGGCGTTGAGTATATTTATCTCTCTTTCTCTTGCTGTATCTGAATTTCCAGGGAATTTGATTTTCATTGGGATACCGTGAATTTCTGGGTCCCAGGAAAATCTCTTGCTGCCTCTCTCTGCTCTCTTTATCTCTTTCTGAAGTCTCCAGTCCACTTGCTGGCCAGTGTCTTCACAATTGCCTCTCGCTTTTAAGGTGGCTCTGGACTGGTGTACGTGGGGAGGGGGGGTGCCTGGGCTGCAGGCGGGCAGCTCCTTAAATAGCCAATTAGGCATGCAGGATGGCCCCTGCTCAGAGCCAGAGCGCGCGAGTTTCACCGGAGCCCTGGCCCTGGCTCAGGAGCCCAGCTGGGTGAGCTCTTCTTTCCTCTGCTGTTCACGCAGATACTCCTCAGATGGGTGTCCCCTGGAGCAGGTAGGGACAAGAAAGGGGGCCTATGGGGCTCAATGCAGCCACCTCAAGGGGACACTATGTTCTCATTTGCCTGCCTGGCTTCTCCCCTGAGGAGTGGCACCCTGGGTGGTAGGGGCCAGCTGGTGGGGGGCCTATTCCCAATGCCTGGCAGTGTCTGTGCTGCCCTGGAATAGGAGTCAGAGTTAGGGGAGAAGTCAAGAAGGAAGGAGCTGGGGACTCAGGGTGCAGGTGGGGTAGGGGTGGGAAGTCAAGGTCTGAAAACCTGGGTTGTGGAGATTAAGAGAAGTAATACGAGGAGAACTTGTCGGGAGCGCTGTCTTCCTCCTGTTCCTGTCACTACCCCCTTCCCACGGTGAGGCCTGGGTCCACGTGCTTGTGTGGCTGGGGGGGGTGGTTTTGTTTGCTGTATAAAGCCCATTTGTGTGCCCAGTGGGGGAGGGGCTGCCACAGCACCATGGAGAGACAGCGGCTCTAACTGCCAGACACAGCCACCTCCCTCCCCAGGGAGCCCAGATCTAGGGCGGCTTTTGTCACTTAAGAGGACACTGACCCCTAGCAGAGAGGCCGGGGCTGGAGGGAGATGGGGAGACCATGGAAACAATCACTATCACAGAAAAGGCAAAGGCGGACTCCAGAGAACAAGCATGGAGAGAGCAGAGAGAGTCTGAGGGGCCCAGGGTCTTCCTTCCTGCCCCAGGGGGGACGAGGCAGGACAGTGGGACTGAGAGAAACCTGCCACTGTGGAGCCGGGCCAGCGGAGCACAGAGGCGGCGTGTCTCAGGAATGTGGGCTGGTGTGTGCTCCCCCACAGGACTGGAAATCCCGATCGGAATGTACATCCTAAATCCCTCATTAGGGAATGTGAAAGCCCACAGACAATTTCAAGATCTTTCTCCTCCATACCCTTCACCAGAGTCACTAGTCCCAAGGAGGCACCCATTTGAGCTCCCTCTGTCCTCTTTGCTCCTTCTGAGTGGCAATAAACAGCCCAAACAAAGGGAGCCGAAGCTAAATAAGGGAGCAGGATAAAAGCCAAAGGAAGGGAATAATGCATGCGCTGGGTCATCAGCTCCTGCAGCAGGCACTAGCTGCGCCCTCCTGTCCCCTGGGATGGCTCTGCCAAACAGAGCCGTTTGTTTTCAGATGTCTTTTCCTTTTTTATTTTCTCATCTCCCTCTGAAATTTTTTTTCCCTTATAGAAAACTTTTCTGTTTTGAAGTTTCCCCAAAGACTCATCTATCCATCCCATCTCTGAAGAGTACAAAAGTTTAAATCCGATTTCTTCAGAAGCAGAGTGGTTCATACAGAGGAACCGCCACAACAAAAAAGCAGAAATATCTTTCACACAGTAGGAAAGAAGTCTGCATTGAATGACCTCCGCCAGGCAGTCCCCTGGAGCCTGCGGGATCGAGAGTCAGCGTCCCAAGGCAGGTAGCATCTTGACAGGCGCCACCTCCTGGCTAATCTGTGAATTTTTTAAATTTAAAGTGTTTCCAGTGGGACTCCTTCTGGGAGGAATTTCACTGTGGTGGGCTATTTTTTTTTTTTTTCTGTGCAGTTGAACATTATTTCACAAAGATGTCTTAGCCCCAAATCAGCACTTTCCATTCCTGAGTGAGCAGCCCCTGTAGGTGCTCATGCTCCCAAACAGAGAGAGGGAGAAAGGCAGTGAGCATCTTCAACTGGGGATTTGATATTATTCTGATCTTTCGCTTTATTGTGAATACATCCATTGTTGCTTTCTAGTCTTGCTGACATGGAGTACGTGTCAAGATAACCCTAATCATGATTTTTTAAATATTTATTTTTCAGTTGTAGCTGGACACAATACATTTATTTTATTTATTTATTTTTATGTGGTGCTGAGGATCGAACCCAGGGCCTGGCATGTGCTAGGCGAGCGCTCTACTGCTGAGCCACAATCCCAGCCCCCTATTTTTTTTTGGTTTTTTAATATTTATTTATTTATTTATTTTAGTTTTCGGCGGACACAACATCTTTGGTTGTATGTGGTGCTGAGGATCGAACCTGGGACGTACGCATGCCAGGCGAGCGCGCTACCGCTTGAGCCACATCCCCAGCCCCTAATTATTTTGTTTTAAATGAGAGTTTCTATTCAAACTCTGGCATCTTTGTTTCAGTGCTGACTTCTCCCATTCCAGTCTTTTTCTCTTCCTGGGGTTGGCTAAACTACTAAAACCAAGCCATTCCACTGCCTTCTGGCGCCATCTCCTGTCCTAGCAAATGCAGTGAAATGTGAATGTCAGAATCAAAAGGGTTCAGGTGTAGTGACTTTCTTGTTTGTCTTGTCTTAAAGGGTCTTAACCTAGGTATTTAAACTCGCTACTCTAAAACATTATAGGAACCTGTTAATTGCTCTGAGTTTGTGTGGTGGGGTATATGGGAGTTAAATAAAGGAGGGAGTTGGATTTTTAAAAACCCCAAACCAAGAATGGTTACAACAGAACTGCAAGCAGTACAAGTGGTAACTAATGGCTAAGAAAGAATCAGTGAGGAGACTGAAATAGATGGAATCAGATTTTCTAGAAAAACAAAAGCAAATTGCACCCTGAGGTAATGTAGACCTGAGATTCTAATTTGATAGGTAATCACATTTAGTATTACATGTGTGTTGTTTAACACTTTAGCACTACAGCTGCTTAAGAAAACACAAAAGTGCTCAAGAATTAATGTCAAAGTAATTAGGGAGAGGAGGGTGGTCAGAATTCCTTTGAATATTTTTTTTCAGTTTTCCAGATCACATTGCTGATAGTTACAGTATGAGAATTCCGGGGGGGGGGGGGGGGGTGGGGAGCCCAGGGATTGAACTCAGGGGCACTTGGTCACTAAGCCATATCCCCAGCCCTATTTTAGTATTTTATTTAGAGACAGGGTCTCACTGAGTTGCTAAGTGCCTCACTTTTGCTGAGACTGGCTTTGAACTTGAGATCCTCCTGCCTCGGCCTCCAAGCCACTGAGATCACAGGTGTGCACCACCACACCCATGAGAATGCTTTACCACAGAACTACAGTCCCCGTCTCATGAAATAACATTCTTTTCTTTATTTCCTCCTGCTCCCTGCCCTGCCTCGTTTCTTCGGAGTTCTTTTTTGAATTTGTTTATTTTAAGTTTCTGATTTTCTGTCAGACCCCTTCTAAAACATTTGGTGATCCTTGCCTTTTCATTCATACCTAAGACTGCGGCCCTCAGGTGTTTATGATCAGGTCTGGAAGGTGTCGGTTGGTAGACTGCAAGGTGAAGGGATGACCATATCTGGCCATTTCCTACCATTCTCTTCAGAGAAGAAACCTCTAACTTTTGACCTCAAGTTACACTTCGACTATAAGATGAATGAAAGAGAGAAAAGCGTTGGCTGGGTGGAGAGGAGGCTTCTCACCTTCTCACAGAAGCTTTCAGTTCTTCTGACAGTGCTCCCTCCATCTAACGTGGCTCCGTTCCACCGAGTTTAGAGTGACTCTTTGATCTCTGGGGACCAGAGTTGGGAACTGAAATTCGCTCTTTCAATAAACCTTTGACCCTATTCTGTTTTAGCTCTACCTTCACCCTCACCTCAAGAGTTCTTAGTGCCTTGGAAATGTTGTGGTTCTAGGATGTAAATCAGTTTGACTCTGAACCCCTTGTGGGGAGGTTTGGATTTTCTCCTCTCTGCTAAGATAATTACCTCTAGACTAGGGAGGGATGAAGGGGGTCCCGACAGTGGCATTCCTTTTTCTTTCAAGTCCCAAACAGGTTGAGAAATAAAGCAAAAAATAAATATGGATGTCCACATATCTACTTTTTTACTGTAGGGGCCAGATTGGAGAATGAATTTCAGTGTGACGGTAACTGCCCCTGAGAATCAGGCGGCCTGGGTGAGGGGGACGTCAGGGTAAAGGCACGGAGCAGAGTGGTGGTGGGCAGGCTTCCCCTCTCAGGAGCAAGGGGTGGAACTGATGGAACAGTCCATTTAGAGTCGATGAACAGAGCGCTGTTACACTGACTGAGCTTTTCTTCACAAAAAGGAAGACGTCAGAATCAAGAAACAACATTTCTGAATCACACTGTTTATTTGTTTTACAGATTCCAACGTTCTGCTGGGTTCTCTCATTACTTGTCCTTCTCCCTTATATTTTTGCTGATGCAGTGTGATGACACATGATGGCGGGATCACGGTTACTATTTGTATGTGCACACGATATTACAATGTAATTGGGCCAATATCACTCTTTTCCCTGCCCTTCTCCCGCCCCCTGGTCCCTTTCCTCTCTAGTCTCCCTTTGATTTTCATGAGACTCCTTGACTTTCTTCTTTTTACTTTCTTGCTTCCATGTATGAAGGAAAAATGTGACCCTTAACCTTCTAGTTCAGCTTATTTCACTTAACAGGATGTTTTCAAATTCCGTCCATTTTCCTGCAAATGACTCATTTCATTCTTCTTTATGTTTGACTAGAACTCCTTTGTGTATATATCCTATATTTTCTTTTCTTTTTTTATGTAGTAGTGGGTGGACAGAATGCCTTTATTTTATTTGTTTGTTTTTATGTGGTGCTGAGGATGGAACCCAGGGCCTCACACATGCTTGGCAAGTGCTCTGCCACCGAGCCCCAACCCCAGCCCTATCCTACATTTTCTTTATGCATTCATCTGTCCATGAATATCTAGCCTGCTTCCATAGTTAGGCTGTTGTGAGTTGTCTTCTCCTTGCTCATTCTTTGTTCTTTTATATTTTTATTCATTTTTTTTTAGTTGTAGATGGACACAATACCTTTATTTTAC